TATTATACCAGTACTCAGCCAAAGAGATCCACTTAACCCATCTATGAGGGTGCTGGCTAGTACAGCACCTGAGATAATTTTCCAGGCACTGGTTCAGCCTTTCTGTTTGGCCATCACTCTGGGGGTGATAGGCTGAACTCATGCTCAACTGAGTACCTAGCAATTTGAACAACTCAGTCCAAAAATTGCTAGTAAAAACCTTGTCCCTGTCTGTCACCAGACTCACTGGTTGGCCATGCAGTTTAAAAATGTTGTCTAGAAACAGTTTGGCCACAGTTGCTGCACAAAAAGGGTGTGATAGGGGCAAAAAATGTGCATACTTGGTAAATCTGTCAATCACCACTAATATAACATTTTTACCCTCTGATTTAGGCAGCCCTTCAATGAAATCCATTGAAACATGAGTCCATGCTCCAGTAGGTATATCCAGTGGTTCCAGCAACCCTGGATATGGGGTATTCTCATGCTTAGCTCTGTGGCACACATCACAATTCTGCACCCAACACACCACACTTGATTTCATCCCAGGCCAATAAAAACTACCCTTTAACCTCTGGTAGGTGCCCAGCATTCCAGAATGCCCACCAATTGCTGAATTGTGGAAAAACTCCAACAATTTAGTTCTCAAGTTAGTGTTATTGCCCACATAAATCTTTCCCTTAAACCTCAAAACACCTTGCACCACTCCATAATCTCCATAAGAGGCTCCATCAAGTGCCTTAGCTGCCATTACTTTGTTAACCTCAGTATCACCCTTGTAACTCTCCAGAACCTCCCATAACCACTTAGGTTGTACTGTAGTCATGGCATTTACACATGCCAACTGATGTTCCTGTCTGGACAGTGCATCAGCCACCCTGTTCTCTACTCCCTTTTTGTACTGCACCTCATAGTCCAAACCAATAAGCTTAGCAATCCACCTTTGCTGGAGTGCAGTAGTAAATTTCTGCTCCACAATATACTTGATACTTTGTTGATCTGTTCTGATTATAAAATGATGCCCTTGTAGATAGTGTTTCCACTTCTGAATAGCAAGTAAAACAGCCATGAATTCCCTTTCATAAATAGACAGTGACTGGTGAGTAGGGCTTAGTGCCTTGCTCAAAAATGCAATTGGTTTACAATCTTGCATCAGTACTGCTCCCAAACCAGTAGAACTGGCATCAGTTTCTACTATAAATGGTTTGTTGAAATCAGGCAAGGCAAGGACTGGGGAGGTGGCCATGACTTCCTTCAGTTGAGCAAAAGCCATTTCAGATTCTGGTGTCCATTGAAACTTCCCTTTTTTTAACATGTCTGTAAGAGGTTTGCTCAAAATCCCATAGCCCCTTATAAACTTCCTGTAGTACCATGTTAAACCTAGGAAGCCCCTGAGTCCCTTGACAGTGGCTGGCTTGGGCCATTGTAACATACTCTGAACTTTGCTGGGGTCAGTAGAAACTCCCTGGGCACTAATGATGTGCCCTAAATACTCTATGCTAGGCTGGCCAAACTGACATTTGGAATGTTTAGCATAGAGTTGGTGATCCCTTAATATTGTCAGAGTGATGTTCAAGTGTTCCATATGTTCCCCCAAACTAGAACTGTACACCAGTATGTCATCAAAAAACACTAGCAAAAACTTTCTCAAATAACTTGCAAAAACCTGGTTCATCAGAGATTGGAATGTTGCAGGTGCATTGCAGAGCCCAAAGGGCATCACCATAAATTCAAAATGACCATGATGAGTCTTGAATGCTGTCTTATACACATCCTCATCCTTCATTCTGATTTGAAAATACCCAGACCTCAGGTCTATCTTTGAAAACCACCTAGCCCCATGAAGCTCATCCAATAATTCATCAATGATGGGAATAGGGTAGTCATGCTTCACAATCATAGTGTTCAAATACCTGTAATCCACACACATTCTCCATGAGTTATCCTTCTTCTTGACTAATAAAACAGGAGAGGCAAAAGGGCTCTGGCTCTGTCTAATAGTTCCATTCTTCAATAACTCTTCCACAATTTTCTCTATCTCATTCTTGGCAGAGTGTGAATACCTGTAAGGGTATAATTGCTTAGGTGTGGCATCAGGTTTGAGGATGATCTGATGTTCAACACCTCTAACTGGGGGTAACCCTTGTGGTTCAATAAATAAATCCCCATATTCTGCTAACAAACCTTGTATTCTGTCTGGTGTTTTAACAGTCTCACTGTTAGTCTGAATGGTGTAAAACTGATTGCCAGTGCCTGATGGACCAACTCCTCCTTTGTTCATCTCAGAATACACTTGCAACAATTTGCCATCACCAAACTCTTCTCTGGCAGTAATCACAACCTTTTGTTCTCCTCTCCTGAGCTTCACAAACCTTCTCTTGTAATCAAATTTCACTGGGCTGTTTTCCCACAACCAATCACATCCCAATACAATATGAAAGCCTTTAAGGTTTAACAACCTTAGTGGAAAAGTAAATGGCTCCCCCTGCATCATCCATATCAGTCCATTCACAATTTCCTTGCTAACAGTCTTGGTTCCATTAGCCATGGTGACCACCATAGGATTTGTGTTATCAATGTGGCAGTTGAGCTTAATAGCCAACACTTCACTGATAAAACTGTGAGTACTGCCTGTATCAATAAGGATATTGAGTGGGCCATTCTCCATCTCCCCAACCACCTTGATGGTCTTCACCCCACTGTTTCCTTCAATAGCATTTAAGGAAACTTCCTCATCACTACTAATCCTCTCTCCTTCTAACCCCCTTTCTTCAGTCATTGACAGCAAATGAGACTCTTCCTCCTCATCAGTCATAATCATATAGATTTGATTAAACTTACATTTATGATTCTGACTGTATTGCTCATCACAATTAAAACATAAACCCTTCATCCTTCTGGCTTTCATTTCCTCTCTGGTGAGTAATTTCCTTGGTGGCATTAAAACAGGTGGAGTGTAGATGTTTTTTGCCAGTTGGTTGTGGTTTGGTTCAGTGTTGGTTTGTACCCTTTTCTGCTGGTTTTGGTATGGCACCATCTGTTTCATCCCACCCTTGGCCCTTCTAGAGACAGCCTCCAGAGTAGCCTCCTGTTTCCTAGTCATTTCAATGGCATGCTGAAATGACTTTGGTTCAAACAAGTCAAAGAACTTCTGATTTTCTTCAGGCAGCCCACTCACAAAGAAAGTCAGAAAAAATTCATCATCATAAGATCTAGTGTTGAACATCAATAAATAAGCCCTGAGCTCCTCAAATTTATCAATGTAAGCCTCTAAAGAATTTGTGACTTTCAACTTGCCAATTTCAGCCAGCACTTTGGCCTCCCTCAAGTCTTCAAATCTGGCAGAGACTAAACCAACAAATTGATCCCAAGTATAGACTCTGTTATTTTGAGAAATATGCCCATACCATATAGCAGCCCTACCCTCAAAATGCAAGGCAGCTAGTACTACCTTTTGGGTATCAGGTATGTTAGATACCAGCTGAAAATATCCTTGGCACTTAAACAGCCAGGTCCTAGGGTTACTACCATCAAATCTAGGGAATTCAATTTTTGGATTAGGGCTGTAATTACCAGAGAAAGGATTTGAGTTTACCATTACCTCATGCCCTCTACTGTTCCTCTGGTCCTGTTGAGGCCTGGTAAACTGTTCAGGCTGTGCAGTGAATGGTGTGGGGTTTGTGCCAGAAGTGGATCCCTCTCCCATAATTGATTTATCCCTGTTATACATCTCCATCCTTTCAGCTATTTTGCCAAGCTGGATCTGCATTATTTCAAATGATTTCCTTGTTTCTTCCTGATTTAAACTGATTTGTTCTTGCAGGTTTGTTTCAACAGCCATCCTTTTATCCATCTCATCCTGCAGCTTCTGTTCCAGTAATTTCCTGTGTGCTTCCAATCTGGTGCCATCCGCCATGAGATCTAGCCTTGCTCTGAGTACCAATTGTCAGAATTCAAGGGTTCTGATTATATTTATTACTGTAATTATAATAATAATTGTAATTAATCTGTAATTTTGTATGATGAGTTGAGGTAGAAGGTAGAAATAGAAAGGCTTGGGAAAGAAGAAAGAGAAAGAGGAAAGTTTAGTGAAAATTTTCATAATCTGCATTTCTCAAAAGGTGTGGTATAAATACCCCCTTCCATGACATCAGGAATATTCTACCCTAGCCCAAGTAGAAACAAAAGTCTAATAAAACAAACAAACAAAACAACAAAAGATAACGGGCTGGAAACATAAAAGCCCAACAAGGTCCGAAAAGGAAAATAACATAAAATAAAACAATCTGTTAAGTTCGGCCCACTACGTCCGAGCCCACTTCCTTTCCTCCATCCGCAACGACACCGTTTTGTGTCTCAATCAATTCTTCATTCCCCAATCCCGTCAAGACTCCTCTTTTGCCAAATTTAGGGTTCCTTCTTTGTGCCAGTTCCCCATCTTTCTCCTCTCCAATCCTAATCCTTGAGCCTCTCATCTTCTTAGCACCCCAGGTCATGACAAAGTAATTTTGTCACAACATAAAAATAATATAAATTACTAAAAAATCTCCTCCAAAATTTCTAGACATGCCCGATCCCTTTCTTTTCTTCTCTCATAAATCCCTTTTTTTTCCTTCTCCTTTTTTATTTGTTCATTTTTTAATTGAAGACCATCGTTGCACCACCACCACCATCATTGCACCGCCATCGTTGCATCGCCATCACCATTGATCTGGCTCTTCGATCTGGCTTTCGCGTCCACCACCATCGTTGCACCGCCAGTGTTCGTTTGCCTTCGCCACCGCCAGTGTTCGTTTCCCTTCGCCTCCGCCAGTCTCAATCGATTGAGGTATAATTTCTAATTTATTTTTCTCTCCATCTCCCCTCTTCACTCTAACTCCACCACTCCCGTTTTCTTCTCTCCATTACTTCAATGGAATGTTAGGGTTTCTGCATAAAAGGGCCAAAATTCCGTTATGTTCTCAAAATTAAGTTACGCAGTTTTGTGATTTTATTTTTAAAACCTATTTAGGCTGATGTCAAAAATTGCCGAGGTTGGAGTCGATCGGAGCTCGTGAATGGGAATTAGGATTCTCAGCCATTAGGTTCTTCGTTCAATACATTTATCTTATTATCTTAACTCTTAAGCTATAGAGGTTGTCTCGTCCATCTATTGATTACTCTTTTTTTTTTTTTTTTTTAATCTTAGATTCCATTATTGAAGCATAGTTCAAACTGCAATTTGAAGATAACAGTAATACATTTTGAGCTGAAAGTAAATTTTTGGGTCCCTTTGCTCCATTTGTTTGTCAAACATAAAAAATTGATCTACTTTTACAGCACGTTTTGGAAAGGGGAAAACCGCTTGTACGGAGTCAAAATATCCGCAAATTGTGTGGGAAAATTGTACAAAGGAGCCAGCACAAGTATGCATCAAATGTTGTAGAGAAATGTTTAGAGTTTGGCGATGCTGCTGAACGGGAGTTCTTGATTGATGAGATCCTTCTGCAGTTTGAAGACAATGACAATTTACTGGTAAGAGAATCTGTTATTCAACACCTTGTTTGAAGAATAAACTATATACATTCTTTATCTATACCTAATTGATGTCTCTTGGCATCATTCTTTCTGCCCTTTTAACTGGCTAACAATATAATAAGGATTTCAGCGTGGATGTGCCTTTGTTAATCAGTTGTTTATTTATTTATTTATTTTTTTCATTTTTAGGTGATGATGAAGGACCAGTTTGCAAATTACGTAGTCCAGAAGATTTTTGAAATTAGTAACGATACACAGAGAGAAACATTGCTTCATCGAATTCGGCTTCATCTCATTGCTTTCTGTCTTTTTTCAGTTTTCAATTTTCAATGATGGTGAGAACGTTATATAGAACTCGTAAAAGATCTTTCTGCAGCTGTGTTAATGATTGCAACTAACTGCAGTTGTTGATTAATGTATGCAGATAATGGAAGTACCTCAGAGCCGTAGGGTTTGCTTTGAGTGTCGGAGAATTATTTTACGAGATTCTCTGCTCTTATCTGACATTGAAAGTGGATAGCTGAGATAAGCTCATAATACTCCAACCTCCGGTCGACAAGTGCTAGGCAGTGCTTTTAGAAGTGAGGTTGAAATTACAATGTCGGTACGTATATGTGAGAATTTACCAGTGTGGTGTAAATTTTAGTACAAATGTGTGAGTAATGTATAGATAGAAGCAAGGGACTTGCTTAGGTGTAGTTTGAATGTTGATTCGTCAATCTGTAGAGTGTGTGTTTTATTTGAGGAATTGAGTTGCAAATCATGGTAAGGAAATGGAATTATCAAACAAATAATAAGGTTTTTTCTGTATGCCTTTGGATCAATGCATTAATCACTAAAGAGTGTTTTATATTTACTGTCCATTTATCATTATTTTCGTATTAATGGATGTACACACTTTGACTGCAGGTATACTGATGTGGTTTGGTGCTCGGCTGATGAGTTCTTCATTCCGCCTCCGACAACCCTCTCCCTCTGCCTCCCGTCCAAACCTGGGAAACTTGGTTTTGCAGAAGTTTCAGTCAAGATTCATCACTATGCTTGTGATCTATAACTGCTCAAAACTCAACTATATCGGAAAAATTGGCTGAAATATATATATATATATATATACACACACAACATTTTTGTTGAGTATATTGTGTAATGCTTACATTTGCATTTGATTTGAGGTTATGTGTTTTTCTTTCAATCGTAGTTTGATCGAAATGCAGCATAGTAACAAAACCGTGCAGCTTCTGCTGAAAATAACGTTGTTTTGTTTCGCAGACGAAATCGATGGCTTATGTCTGATCATCTTTCTTGGCTTATAGCTGATACCCACTCAAGCTAATAGAGACCACTCAAGCTTACTCGGGCAAGATGACCTATGGGTATATTTCTCTCCCTTTCTTGATACTTAATATTATATGCATGTATTTGGATATATTATATGCAATGATATCTCTGTAGTTTTAGTTTCTATGTAGCTGAGTGTACTTTGGTTGCGGATGTGTAAGTCTTTGACGGCGTATTTGTGGAACTTGTTAGAAGTTAGAATCCTATGTGATTATCTATTATGATATTGGTTGTTTTGTCTAGAAAACTGGACCTTACAAGAAGAAGCAGACATATAAGAAGTTCAAAAATGCTTTCCTATGTGTTAACATCAATTACATTGGAGACCAAAAAGAATAGGAAAAAAAAATAACGCAAGAGCATTTGAATGCTTTCTTTATTTTATTTTTTTATTTTTTTATTTTTTTATTGATTGAGGTAACTGCCATAACATTTGTTTTATTACTAATTGTTTGTGTTATACGTATATTTCATTTATGTCTAGAACTAATGGAGGTAATGTTTTTCTATGTTATGGATTAAGTTTTGTTGGTACAGGTTGATAGAAGGTACAAGTACTTCTGTAATTGGATGGAAAAGGAGTATCTTCACTATTATAAGTAATTGCTGCAACTGTTAAGAGATGGAATTACGGCCACAAAGAAGGCTAAGGGGAAGAAGGATACAATATCATTAGGTGCAAACTAATGATTATAGCTTTTATTTATATTTTATTATAGCTTTTGAGTGTAAACTAGAATGTGAGGTTTTCTGTAAGTGTGATAGTACTACTACATATTGCAATATAAGTATTTTTTTATTTCAGAATCATTCTTTAGTTCAATGAAGTTTAATTCTATTATTTTTGTATATTAGAAAAGTAAAAATTAAGGCAAGTATATATTATATGATAAATTATGTTGTCAGGTAAATTCTACATTATAAAAATGTATTTTATGGGACGAAATTTTTGTCTCAATAGATCTTGTAGTTCATGTGACGAAATAATTTGTCACAATAAGCAGCACCTACTGTGACGAAATAAGCTTGTTGTGACAAATTTAAGTTTTTTATGTGACGGACATTTTGTCGCAAATACACACAATTCTGTGACGAAATTACATTCCGTCACAATCTCTGGTGACAAAAACAGTATTTCGTCACAAAACACCTTTCGCGACAGGCCCTACGCGACGAACGCTGCGACGAAATAATTTGTCACATAAATGTTTATGTGACGAAAGTTTAAGTTTGAGTGACAAATTTTTTCGTCACATAAAATGCTTTTTTTTGTAGTGGTATCAATATAACAATTTAAATTATGTCAAAAAAGAGATCCCACATGGCCAGTGTTTAATAATTATCTATTTTTTTCTTAGTAATCCTTTTACTACTTAGAATTCAATTCGCATTTTATCCTAAATGTATTTTATCAACCATTGTAATATTGTTTAGTAATATTTTGTGTATCCTTTACATATTTATCACTTTAACTTTCGTTGTTATTTTGCAGCGATGGACATTATGATTGCACAAATGTATGTAGTCTCATTAACTGTTGTATTTTTCACATTTATTCATCTTTGTATGTTAACATATAACCACCAACATATATTTCACGAAGTATTTTACCATTTTAGTTAGTACTAACTTTGTATATACTTTGAAAGTAAAGTATATGTAGGGTGGGATATCTAGGCTATTTTATATTTATTTTAATTGTCTTTGTATAGATCGGGTTTTATATATAATTTGGATTTTGTTTCCTAAAAAATGATTAGTCGTAATTTATATGATTATGGAGTTGTTATATTGTCGAATTTTATTACATATAATTGCCGGTTCATACCATTGTCATCCTCAATTTAATTTCCTTCAATTTTAAGCATTTAATCGAAAATTATGGGATTGTAGTTGTAGAATCCCACATTCTTCAAATTCAAATACCTCCTTTTAAGCGTAGTATTTTGTTTAAATGCCCAAACTGCACTTTTCAACTTTTGGCATTTACTAAATTTTATATAATAATAACAATTTATGCAATTTCAAAATTTTATATTCAGTTCACTCATTCACCAAACTGCCATCTATAAATGCATTATTCTTTCTTTTCTACTCTTCACTACATTGTTTACAACATTAAGTTCCGTAATTATAATTGTAAATAGATAGATAATGTAATCACTAATTTGCCGAACTACAATTTATAAATGCAAAATTTTATGTTTTTTCATTCTTTATTACTTAAATTATGAAATTCACATATTTATAATTAATATATAATTAGGTAAATGACAATTGTGAGTTTACCATAATACCACAAAATTACGCCATTGTTCAATCCTCTCTTTTTTGTTCATTGTCCATCTCCAAGCGAATATACAATTAGGAGTTTAGAATTTTCTACAATGTTGTCTTTTTTTTTTTTTTAATCTATAGTGTTGTCTTTTGTGTTGTCTTTATTTCTTATTTTTTTTAATATACAATATTATCTGACAATTTGAATATTTATACATGTAAGTGAATTTTTGTTGGTCTTTTTTTTTTCTTTTTGGTAATATTAGGAAGTTCGATTAAAACAAGTATATTTGTGTTTCGATTGTTAGACTTCGTTTTTTATACACAAATGACCCATTTTCAGTTTTGACTTTAAGACCTTCTGTTGAACATATATTTTGTTATTTATCATTTATTATATATATCAGTATGTACATTATAGGGTAAAATTCTTATACTCATGTAGGTTGTTGTAACTTTTTAATTAGTTTAATAGTATTTTTAATATTGACGATATACTTTATTTATATTAAAACACAAGCATGGTAATTATCATTTATCAATAAAATATAATTAGAATACATGTACATATATAATATGAGTTGTTTATTATTAAGAAAAAAATAATTTGGTTATTAATATTATATATGTTATTTTGGGTGATCTACGTTATAATTGCTGATAAAATTGAAAAATAAAATGGAAATCAAATGAGTAATATCACATGCAATTATTAAAATAATTTAAGTAACACGATTAACAATGAAAAAGAAAAAAACCAATTGGTGCTCATATGGCCGGAAATAGTTTTTTTTTTAATAATTTTATATGTATCAATATTAGTATAGTATCAGTATTAGTATGAATATCTATATATCCATATAAGTATCAATATTTCAGTATGACTCTCAACAGTATGAGTATCCATAGGATTATCAGTATTAGTATCGTTAATAGTATCAATATTAATATCATATCAGTATCAATATCATTATTAATATCAATATTAATATCAATACAATATCAGTATTAATATGAGTCTTAGTGTCATTATTGGTATCAATATGAGTATCAATATTAGTAGCAGTATTAGTATGGGTATCAATATGAGTATGAACATTAATATCAATATAAGTATTATTATGATTCTCAATATTAGTATTAATAGCAATATCAATATTATTATCAGCATCAATATGAGTATCAATATCAGTATGACTATCAACTATCATTATGAATATCAATATTAGTATATGTATGATTATAAATATTAATTAGTATCAATATTAGTATCAGTAGCAGTATCAATATCAATATCAATATCAGTAGCTATATGAATATCAGTATTAATATCGATATAAGTATAAGTCTTGGTAATTAACAATATCAAAATCAGTATGAGTATGTATATCAGTATTAGTATCAATATCGGTATCAGTATCAGTATTAGTATCAATATCAGTATCAATATGAGTATTAGCATGAGTATGAGTATCAATATAAGTATCAATATAAATATTAGTTTTAATATCAATATAAGTATCAGGATTAGTATGGATATCATTATGACTATCAGTATGAGTATGATTATCAATATATTTGTATCAGTATCAATATTATTATAAGTGTTAGTATATGTATTACTATGAGTATTACTATCAATATTAGTATGAGTATGAGTATGAGTATCATGAGTATGAGTATGAGTATGAATATGTGTATGGGTATGAATATTAATATGAGTATTAGTCATGAGTATTAGTATGGATATCATGAGTATCAATATTAGTATCAATATCATTAGTAAGAATATTTAATAACGAAAAAATAACAAAATAACAAAATATAAATATTAAAAAAAAAAAAAAAAAAAAAACCTATGTACCATGAGAAAGGGTAATTCGGTCATTTTCATGTAATTGGATTGATGTTAATAAAACCAAACATCAAATATTATTAAATAATAGAGAGATAAAAAATTCAAAATTTGATAACAAACATCTTTTAAAATAACAGGCCTATTATTTTCTAGGGAGAACTATCTTATCTAGGCTAATCTTATCTTGGCAACCAAACGATGTCTTAGTGTATTAGTATTAACATTAGCATTAATATTAGTGTATTAGCATTAGTGTTAGTATATTAGTATTGATATTAATATTAGTAGTATTAGTATTAGTATTCGTAGTAGTATTAACTATTTGCTACTTTTTCAAAGATTCCACTTAGAAGGAATTATTGAACAAACATTTACTTATTTGATTAGTATTAATATTAATATTAGTATTAGTATTAATATTAATATCAGTATCAATGTTAGAATCAAAATTAGTATCAATTTTAGTATGAGTATAAATATCAGTATTAGTATCAGTATCAGTATCAATATCAGTATCAGTATCAATATCAGTATCAGTTCAGTATCAATATTAGTGTTAGTATTACTATTATTACAGTATTAGTAAATATCAATATTAGTGTTAGTATTACT